GCCAACTTTCATCGCAGCTACCTTACGGCGCCTTGCCATGCTCCTGCCGATGGTGCTGCCGCTCGACGACTGCCGCTGCTGCTGCCGCTCAGCAACTACTGCTGCCGCTAACGCTGCTGCTGCCCCGCCGCTGCGGGGGCCAACCAAGCTGCTGCCGCTGCTAGCTGCCGCCCCATCTTTGCAGATGCGAGCCATACTGCTGCTGATGCTGCCCCGCCGCTGCTAACACAGGCCACGCACATCGCGCGCTCAAATCTGCCGCCGCCACCCGGCACCTTCCTACATAAGACTGGTTGTGCATTACGCTGGCGTCCTTAGCTTGCTATTGTATGCCACAGCTACGCCCCGCTGCGCCGAGGGACTCTAGGTTAGGCCACCACCGACCCCATACAGGAGTCGAGCACAAGAAATGCCTACCCGGAGTGGGGATAGAAGCTGGGAGGACGCTGCTGTTGCTGGGAAGTGAAGATGACGCGGATACCACCAGGCCGCTGGAGCCAGGAACGGAGCTCGACTCCCCAGAGGCAAGTCCCAGCGATGAGGCTGTGCGAAAGATAGATTGCAGCACCCGTGACGTGACTTGGTCAACCAATGCTGACGTAGCGACTTCCGGACTAACTGCCGGAGCTGAGACTGCAGACGAGAGAGACGTAGTCGGTCGCCGGGAACTCGCAACCGTTGTCGCCAGGGAACTAGAAGTCGGCGTGGAGCTGGTTGACGTGGTCATGGTTTACACCTTTCTCGAAGAAAACACGGAGCTGTTGCTGACAGGCGGTTGAGGACGGAACTGCGAGCGTTGCTAGGTTGATCCCCCATTTCAATCTTCGCGCCTTCGCTATCGCGCGCCCAGCGCACGGGCGCAATGCGCTGCGCATGCGCCCTGGCCCTGAGCCCTACCCCGCGCCCGCGCTTAGCAGCGAGCGAGCGCCCGCCGCGTTAACTTCGTCTAGCCGGCTAAACGTCATTCGATCCACATAGATCCAATTTTGACTGCCTAGTAAATGAACAGAGACTTAAGCATCATGGAAGGTTTACTAATTGCCAGTGTGAAATTATATAATGAAATTTAAGTGTTAAGAAGATGTACAGATACTGTGTCTTGTGATAAGCTGTAGTAAATGGGCCCAGGAGGAGAACAGATAGAGATCTTGCAGCGCAGAGTAGGCGACCAGACCACCTTAGCTCTTTAGCCATTTCTTGTGTTTTTATTGCCTGAGTCTGATGTCTGAGATCGAAAACAGTAGTGAAAATGATTTTGAATAAGAAAATTATAACAAGTTTTTCTGTTCAAATATCGGTCGCATTTTTTGCAGAAGTGTGTATTGTCATCAAAGGTTGTTTCCATATCACACTAAGTGACGAGTTCTGTTTTATAGTTTTGAGTTTGCCCTTTGTACATATTTTTAGTGTCATACAGCATGATGTGGTAGGCTAAGTACAGCCTGCTTGGTCACCCTCGTTGCCAGTGTTAGAGCACTTGTCTCGAGAGCCGTCAGCTCGAGTTCAGGAGTTGCTCGTTTTTATCTGTTGTCTTAGGTGTCGTTCAATCATCTGACATGCATTGCCTTGTACCCCCCTGACTTCACTGCTTGTACATAATACGTCCTTGGTTTCTGGGCTATAATCAATAAATGAAAAGCTGAAGAAAGGGATGGATTAAGGGGTGGGGTGGTCCCTTTTGTGTGATGAAGAGTGTGAACTGGTATGTCAAGTTATTTGGGAGTATCCAGCACATTAGGAGCAATTTCTTTGACTTGCAGAAGGTGCCAAAATATCTATGAAGTTCATAATGTTGTCAGGTACCTCTTACATGAGCATAAGAAAGTAGCACCTGTGCGTATTGTATGAATACAAGTAAATTACAAATTGTTCGAGTTAAAAAAATTGTGAATATAGGGATTGTATAAAAAGCAAGGAGAATAATTTTTTATTTTACTTGTCTCCTTTCCTTTTTTTATGGCACAGACATGCAATTTTGGGGCATAATCCCCATATAGAATGAAGTATGTGTATATTGCCTTAGACTCTTTGTTGTTTCTTTCACCAACAAAGTACATCAGTGTACCAAGTTTCATTGTGAGTGGACCCATCATAAGCGAGTTATAACACATAGTTGCCTGTTTGTTGCCGGCTGTTTGTTGTTCATTTGATGCATATGTGTACAAAGTTTTATTGGCGAGCGGGAGTGAGCCAACCTAGTCGTTACTTCGAGCAGATTTTTCTATTCATGTATATACGACAGCGTACGTCGTGTAAGTGCGCATGCGCACGCGCGGCTTCTGTACGCGCTTATTTTTATCCAAAATCATTTCCAAATTAAATTTTCACACACGCTGCCTCGCGGTATGTGCCGAGCCATCTAGCCAGTGAGTGGACTCTTCACCATTTAACGGCATGCACTGCAATCTTCGGTGACTGACCGAGGCTGTACCTCTTCCCAATCTTCATTCGAAGGTGCAACATGGAAATAAGCTAGAATTGATCGTGCAGATACTGCTGCATGCCAGCTGCCTTGTGGACCACGACTGACGACCTGAAAGCATAAGGTACGAACCGTTCTGCTCACCTGCTCACCGGCAATATACAGTACCCATGTAACGGCGACAGGTGGATCTGGTCTTGCTTCATGAAAGGAATGCTGTGCGCTGACAGCATGTTATGCAGCCCCAACATCGCGAGCAAATACCAAGTTGGGTCGCTCTCGCTCGCCAACATTGTTCAACATTTCCACTAGTCACTCTGGGTTATTAGATTTACCTAGTTAGCACACTTTATTGGTCCCTGTCATAATGTATGGCCTGGGGTTATTTTTTTGTTTACTTGTTTGACAAACAGAATAATATGCTCTTGCACGACCGGTCATGTGTTTGTGCGAAGTTTCATCTCCATATCTTTCCTTGTTTTTGAGACACTCTTGTCAAAACTGAATGACAACAACATAATTTTGAAAACTAACTTTCTTGAATGAATCAATTTCCGATTATGTGATTTAAGTACATGCTCTTTTTGACAATAGCGATCGGACTTACGTATAATTGGCAAGTGGGAGCGAGCCAACCTAGTCGTTCGTTCGAGCGGATTTTTTCTGTTTATATACGACCGAGTACGTCCTGTAAGTGCGCATGCTCCAGGATTACGCGCTTCTTTTTATCTGAAAGGATTTCAAAATTTTCCCCATAATGTCCTACGTATACACTCGCATATAATGGATCAGTCCAGAGAAGATGCCCTTCGTCACTGAAGAGAGCGGGAAAGAGAACGTCGTGACTGTGAGACTCCTGAGCAGACAGAGACTCGTCTGTATCAGCGTCGCTTGCGTGATAGGGAACGGGCAGGGAATGCCTCGCCACAGAAACAGCGGAGGAAAGGAAAGTGCGACTAGGGAGAGCTTTTGTAGCTAGACGCACTGCGGAAACAGGGGAAACGGAACAGGCCAGTCTCACACAGCTCAGTGCCCGTGAGACTCCTGACTCCTGTGCCCGTGAGACTCCTGAGCAGAGAGAGGCTCTGCTCACCGTTCTGGCAATGTATTGTGACTTGCGTGGGCGGATCAAAGGAGCCGCGCATACTTTTATTTCCTGTATTGTAGTATGTGACTAATATTGAACTTTCAATGAAAAGGTTATTGAACTAGCATCAGCATCGTACCCATAGTGTAGACAAAAACTGTTTTGTAGAGGCTTTAGAGGCGAGGGATGACTGTTCTGTAGAGGCTGTAGAGGCGAGGGATGGCTGAGGCGACCACACCCCTTCATTCAGCTCCCAGTGGCAGGCGAGACCGCGGCCGCGGCACACCGACCTGTCAAACGGCCCAGCGACCTATGAAATGAGTTTCTCTGAGGGAGAAAGAGCCACAATCACGACCTTGTTCGATTACGGTAACCTCGAGAACAGGGAACTCGCTCGAGAAGCCAGCGAGTGCGCACGTGCGCATGGGTAGGCTCTCACTGGAGGTCGACGACTGCTACAAAGTCACAATAAAACACATAATGTGTGTCCTATCGTTCTATACATGACTTATGGGAACTCAGGTTGTGGTCTCCAAGACCAATACAGCACTCGGCTGCGCCTCGTGCTGTATGAGTCCCGAGACCACACCCCTCTGTAGTGGCGACAGGTATCTCTGTCTTGCTTCACGGAAGGAAAGCTGTGCGCTGCCGGCATGTGCCGTTATGCAGCCCGAACATCGCGGACAAATCCCAGGTTTGGCCAATAATGTTCGCCAATAATGTTCAACATTTCCACTAGTATTATGTGAGAAGTGCTTTAAGTGAAACGTACAAATCTCAAATGTATGGGCATAATGCATCCCGTGTAAAATAATGTGTGTAAAAGCACGCACAGACGGCAACGGTTGCGAAATATCGCGCTTTTACGCACTCAAGCGGGTAGTCACACCAATTTACGCAGACTTAGTGTTCGCGCGTAGTAACGCGCGATGGCGTGCTCCACCCGCAATCGCCGACATACACTCAACGCTCGCGGTATTTCGCGAGGTTTTTTCAGCAAACGCTCGTTCGCGCATAACCGCGTACTGACACACCCACGTTTGTGCAGAACAGCGCTCTAGAGTGTAAATACTTGGAGGTGCGACCACGCTTGTTTACGCTTAACCGCGTAATGACACGCCCACGGCGTGCGTAATAGCGTGAGACAACGCGTAGTAAACCACCGCGAAATAATGCGCCTATACCTGAGTTTTTGCGCTTTGTTTTACACGAGATTGCATGACATGGATCGGTGATTCCTGTCTTGTCTCCTATTGTATAATAATATCAGCACAGTGGCACCTAGTGTGTAGTGTCTTTTTGTGGTTTGTCGTTTTGTAGTATAGTGTTTTACGGTGTCATAGAAACCATACATGAAAGGACAGGTGACTGGTTCGTAAAAAGGTCCGGCAGTGTATTATGTACTTGTTATTAGATTAGATGCATGTTGGTCTGCTCTGTAATGCATATCTATGTTATGTGGCAATCGTATAATACTTTAACATTTTTCAGGTACTCTGAGAGAGGCAAAACTAAGTGTATTGGAATAACAATTGAGACCAGACCTGACTACTGCCTAAAGAAACATCTTGGGTAATTTTAGTCACCAAGTCTATATGGGTAGCTGCTGCACGGGTATTGCCACTAATGAAAAGTTGGCGCACTGTATAGAAACGCACATAAGCATTGCTCCATAGTGTATCCACAGTACCATCGTGGTCTCTTGCCAGCTTTCTGAAAGTCTGACACGGGCTAGCTATGTAGAGGAGTGGATAGCATTTTAGGCATCATGACACAGGACATTCGTCCTCTGTGGTAACTTCTGATGCCTCCACCGACTGCCAACAGCCAAAATGGAATCAAGGGGAGGAAGTAGTGATTTGCCTATTTGCCTGTTCACTTTATTTTAATGCTGTAACTTTTGAACGCATTGTTTTTTGAAGTCGCCAAATCTAAATTTAAGCCAGTGTAGTCCTAAATCAGTTACATCACTCTTTGGCAGGGTTGTTGCACGAGGTTGCATAAAACATGGTAACAGACAACTAGACACACGAAGTAATGTGCATGTGCGTCAGGGGTTAAAACTGATGTGCATTTCATCCTCACCTATCTTTTAACCCTGTTAGTCTGCTTTTCAGTGTAGTACAAGCATATAGTAGGAAAAATACTGTAAAATATGGTTTTGCGCTGAATAAGTAACACTTCACCAGCAGTTCAACGGTGCCTGTAAATCCATCGTGATGCAACAGCCTACACAGCATGAGCTTCAGGCTCCTCAAGCACTTTATAAGTGATTCTCACTTGTCATTCAAGTGAAAAATGTCCCACTGGAGAAATCCGCCTATACTGTGTTTGCAGTTGGCTTTTATCTTCCATGTTCTCCCTCAGGGCCGAACGCATACACAAACGGCTACAGTGCACAAGCCTACCAATACTATCTAGTGCTGACGAAAATACCCTTAGACCTTGTGATGTAAACTCTGTCTCTTCCAATGTAGTGCAACGTTTCCCATTATAGTCCTAGTAACATTGCATAAATCACAGAGTGTAAACGTGAGACAAATGAATATGAAGTGACACAACTGCACCTGCAAGCTTTAGTAAGGCTCTTAGTTACAAGGGCAATTGCATACAAAAAGATGTAATGTTAACCTGAGGGCTGCCCCACATGGCAAAAGGGTTGCTTCAAACAACTCTTGATACCCACACTACTCTGTTTCCAAACACGAAGACATAACCATGCTGACCTGCCACATACTCTGAATATTATTTTTTTCGACGCTCCTCAACTTAAAGGCAGAAGTAGGGGTCTAACAGCGAGGATGCACTGTAATCTCTTTCAAAACCTGTGCGCTATGGACATACTTACCATCATTTCCCAGTGATATTACAGTAGGTAACATACTTACATAAACTTTCCAGTGATATTAGTACATACATCTGTATCACATTCAGGCAGATGCTGAGTTATGGCTGCACAAGGTTGGAGATTGGTGTCCAGAGTGTGTACGAAGACGTTGCTAGAGACACTAATAGAGGGCACACAGTCCGTGCTGTGTGTGAATCTTTTCAGTTGGCAAAGGATGCAGGCTTTAAAGTTGTTGCGCACATGATGCCAGATCTACCGAATGTTGGCCTGGAAAGGGATATTGAGGGCTTTGTTGTGAGTCCTTAAGTTTTCTTCTGCTCAGATGTGTATTCGTTATGATGCGTCCACATTCAGGATTTCGGTACCGTATAAGTAAAAACTTCAGCGACAAAGTTTAACTTCGTGAATCAAGCATTTCCCCCCACCAATATTTAGCTAGCCATGCATGCCAGCTAGCTGACTGTGTTTGTAAAAGTGAGCTGCCCTTTCTAGCCTCATTCCCCAGCTTTCCCTCCTCCACGCGGACAATTTCATAGAGTGACCTTTGACCCCCACACGTAAAAAACAGAAGGAGAGCCTGGTTCAGTGACATTCAAGATAGAAGAAGGTACAGTAGTACTTAGTTTATAGGGATGGGCATGGTACCTAGCACCACAGATGTCTGGGGGAGTTTTGTTCAGCATCTTCTTCCAGCATAACTCAAAAACCAAAACAGATAAAGTCATGAAATTTTGTAGCAAAGTAGATATTCATAACCGCATGTGCAACGTCATACTTTTTTGTTTGTGAACAACAACAAATAGCCCCAGGCAATACATTAAAAATAGGGACACGTGTGTTAGTGTAACTCACAAATGCTAAGAGCTATGCAAATGAAAGTGACCACTATACATGTAAACCAAAAAAAATAGCCTTAGGCAAAATTACTTCTTCACTCATAATTATCGCTAACGGTAGCGCGAAACTTTGTACAACATTATTTCCATGGCGATTACATGGTTGTAAACAACAACAGACATTTTCTCTATTTTTTATAGGGGGCCTGCCCCCTTCACAGACATATTAATGGTAGTATATAAAAATGGGTCCCATACATTTCTATGGGAGAGGAAAAAATGTGCATTAAATAGAAGTCGCGCATGCATTCACGCACATTGTGTTGCACGCGTTCTGCAGTGTTAGTGTTGGGAGCCACAGAGTTCTTGCATGTCCTGTTCAATGTAAGTTTAACTGACATGCCTGAACATGGAACAGGGACCTGTAGGAACTGCAACACTAACGCCGCAAAACACGCGCAACACAATGTGCAACACATTTTGCCTCGCGCCTGCCAGCCAATGCGTAAACAGTCCCGCTCGTGCGCGCGCTCTACTGATAGCGCGTCAAGCCAGACTTCCTACGAATCTGCGCGCACGGCTGAAGCTAGACTTCCGGATGTTGACATTCCTAAGCGTGACTAATTGACATTCTTAAGCGTGACGGACACGTACGCATATCGCGAGAATACAACCTGGAGTAGTTGCCTCACGCTAACGCGCTCGGCAATTAATGTTGCATTAAAAAGCCAAAATATTTTTTTGTTCCTTGGTGTAGTACAATTCAACCCATGCAGTTTGAAGAATAGCATAGCCAAGTAATGCCCACACACCATACCCAAGTGAAAAGACCATACCAAATGAAAACGCCGGAAAAGGCCATGCCCAAATGAAAAGGCCATATCCAAATGAAAACACCATACCCAAATAAATACCAAATGAAAAGACTGTAAACCCTAATTGCGCGACTGCACCATTGTGTAATTTTGACACTGATCTCCCCCCCATACACGTGAATTAGATATGTTCTACCTTCGTTTTGAACCAGGCTCTCGATCCCTCCGTCTTTTTACCCGCGGGTGTTTGTTTACTTGGTTTGTGTGTTCATATGTCCCTCGGTACACATCTGCCATGACGCAGAAATTTTGTGACTTTAAATAATCAGAATTCAGTCCTGTACTCGTGGTAGCGAGACTTATGCAGCTAGTGTCTAATATGGCATCCTTGTCAGGGTATATAATTACACAACCAGAGATCAGAATTCGATCCAGTGCTGAATTCAACACGGAGTCGGAGTCGGACTCATCCACGGACTACAGATTTAAAGTAGGCCAATTCTTGGGGTTGAGCTGATGAGAAAGATTGTGAAGAACGGGAGTACCCAGTGTTGTGAGGAGCTGCAGGAGGCAGGATGTAGAAGGGAGTTGCCCAACATGTAAGGCCCAATGTTAGGCTTCCTGAGTTTGAGGAGTCAAGCTACCTAAACTGAAGGTACCTACCACCTACCTTCGACGGCAACATCCTGAACTGGCAATCATTTTGGGAACAATTCTTTGTCTCCGTCCATGATCGTTCCTCCCTCTCACCCGAGAAACTCGTGTACCTTCAACATTCCCTAAAGAATGGTTTGGCTAAGAAGGTCATTGAAGGTCTCTCCCGCTGTGGTGAGTTCTACATTGAAGCCATTGAATGCCTGAAAGCTCGCTATGACCGACCCCGACATTCCTCATTATCACAAGTTGCTCAATCTATGCGCTCAAGCATCCGAGACTCCACTACACAATGAAAAACGGAACTAATATCAATGGGGAACAACTCTCAAACCACCAACCCGGTAACGTCCTTTGCAACCAATGCCTACTGCTGATTGCGTTCTCTGTAAGGGTGAGAAACATCTGTTGTATGCCTGTGTGTGCTTCAAGGCCCTTGCACATGATAAGATGGTGTCCACGTTGTAATCAATCTGTATGAATTGCCTGACACCTGGACATTTTGTCAAGTAATACAAGTCTGCCCATCGTTGCAGACAACGACAGAATCCACATCACTCACTATTGTACTTTGAAAGTGAGCAAAGTTCTCCATCATCAACTGGTACATCCGTCAAACCCGTCACATCTAACACTGCTGCAGGTCTCACGTCCAACACTCTTCTGATGACCTGTCGGGTTCTGATCTCCCCCCAGATGGTTGTTCTATTGAAGCATGAGCACTCCTTGACTCTGCATCATCTGCCTCGTTTATCTCTGAGCGTCTCGGACACTATGTCTCTCTCGCTCACATCGGAACACCGCGATCTCTGGAGTTGCTGGCCTGTCCCGCAGTTTGCCTCTCCAGTCGGTAGGCAACTTCAAGATCTCCCCCACGCATCTCCCCAATGGGAAGTTTGAAGTCTGGGCTGTCTGACGTGTGATCTACCCCTCCAACCCGTCTTCTTGGACTCCTCGTGGGTGCACTTGGAAGACATCCATCTAGCTGATCCTGACTTTGGCCACCCTGGCAGAATTGATGTCTTCCTTGGAGTTGACATCTTTGTTGAAACACCCCTTCAGGGCCGGCGCATTGGACCTCCTGGTTCTCCCTGTGCATTCGAAACTTAGTTTGGTTGGGTTCTCGCAGGCCGTCTGCAGGCGTCATTCCCAAGTACTCACGTTGTGCATCATGCCTCACTCACTACTGGAGACCGACCTACTGCATCTGTTCTGGGAGGTTGAAGAAGGTCAGAAAGGTGACACAATCCTCTCATCTGAAGAACTCTCTTTCGTACAGCCTTTCAAAGAAAACCATCTTCGCACCGAGACTGGAAGATTCATCGTTCCTCTCCCGAGAAAGCCAAATGCTAAGGCACTGGGTGAATCCCGATCTCAAGCTGTAAGGAGATTCCTTTCGCTGGAGCACTCTCTATATTCCAAAGACCAGTTTGGGAGTTTTAACGGGATGGGACACGCTGAGCTCGTACCCACGACTGACTTGGAGAAGTCACAACAGGAAGTATTTTACCTCCCAATGCATGCAGTGAGAAAGGAGACCAGTTCTACAACGTGGATCTAAGCTGTTTTCAACGCGTCTGCCAAATCTTCAACTGGCGTTTCATTAAATGACACACTCTTCGTGGGACCAACCGTGCACTCTTCACTCATCGACAGCATTACTCAGGTTCCGGTTCAGGTTGGTTCCACCGTGTTGCATTAACCGCTAACGTCAGCTGAATGTACCGTACAGTGGAGTTAACCTTCCCCAACAGAGATCTTCATAGATTTGTCTGCATAGATTTGTCTTGCTGACAGGCTGTCTCGTGGGCATAGTGTAACCTATATTTATACCATCCCTATATTCCTTCTTTTTTAATTTGTAGGATTTTTTTTCAAGCTTCATTGTTTGTTTGTTGTTTAGGAATTCTTTGAAAACCCAGGATTTAGGGCTGATGGATTGAAGTTGTATCCTACCCTTGTCATAAGAGGCACAGGTATTTCATCCAATATTTTCGTGATATTGTATCTGATAATGTTGTAACATAAGCTGGCAATTGTGTTTGCTCATTTTATCATGACTGAGTACAGATAGTAGTAGTTTATTTCTCTGGTTCATTGCATATCAGGGATTCAAAAAGATGCTTACACCTGGACGGGTCATTTATAAGCCAATCTTACCTACAGTGCATCTCTTAGAACCTCTTGATATCTACAAAAAGTGTATTTAGAACTTGAAAGAAACAAATTCAGAGGCTTAGCTGTCAGATGTTTCTAGCAAATTGGTTATTAGCAGTGTGTTGCAGAGAGCAAGTAGGTGATCGTGTCAGATATGATGTGTTGCTTAAAGAAGTGGAACAGACTAACAGTTACGTACACAAAGCAAGTTACAGCAATCCTCGCTACATATACCGAAGAACGACAGATAAGAACACGAAAGTGTGCAAATGTACACAAGTACGTTGCATGCTTTTTATGCTATAATCTCAATATATGTATGGAATGACTACTGTAAATTATCCATTCTTGTAATAGTGAGTGGTATTAAAAGGCATATTTTTAAAGGACACAAGGAACAAATAACACCAGTATTAGATGCGAGCACAGCCAAAAGTATTGTGTGTAATTTGTGGGGTATGTTTTATACTATAAATACATGGCACGTTGCCTTACAAATCTATCTGACTTGTATAGGAATTAAGTGCAAAGTTTCTCCTTACTAATGTTATTAAATTTTTTTTCACAATGGGGACTATGTGCATGGTGTCTCTTTTCATTCTCAATTACCTAACTCACTTTTGTCACCATATAGGCCTCTATGAGCTCTGGAAAACAGGTCGTTATAAGAGTTATCCTCCTGATATGTTGGTGGACCTTGTAGCCCGTATTCTTGCTCTTGTTCCCCCCTGGACCAGAGTTTACAGAGTACAAAGGTGTGTAATTTCTTGTCCATTTCATTGTGAGCCCTTTTTGCCTTTTTGATTGCCTCTAAAGTTTCTTCAGAACTGCTGCTGATGCATAGTTTTCCTAAATATTTAAATTACCAGAGGCAGACATGAGTTTTTAAGGGGGCAGAGGGGGACATAGTTGTGCATTTTAATCACCAGGGAAGGTGGACATGAGACCAGAGACACATGGACGCTTTGGTGACCAGAGAGAGACAGATGCTGGCATTAATTTTTGATTACCAGAGTGACACAGACACTATATGGGTTACGATTTATATTTTATATATTTTACTTGGTGCTTAAAGGTGTGAAAATATCAGTTTGCAATTTAATGCGCCATCCTCTCTGTAGTGGCTAGAGAAACACAGGATTTTTGGGAGCCATGTCCACATTTTGGACGAATCCTATTTGGGGCAGGTCTTCTTTTTCCTTGGAAAAAAGAGCTGTCCTATGCGTAGTTGACTTGATTTTATGCCTGAAAAAATCTACAGAGATATTCCCATGCCACTGGTGACATCAGGAGTTGAACATGGGAACCTCAGAGAACTTTCTGTGGCTAGAATGAAAGATCATGGTACACAGGTATGTATATTATTGTTTGGCGAGTGAGTGCGAGCAGTTCAAAATTTTCCCATGCCTTGCACATATTTAGAATGACATAGAAGATTACTGTGCGCGCATATTTCGCACGTGTTTAGTGTGTATATTTAGAACAGGTAAATAGACATTTTAATTCGAAGAATTTTTGTTCACTTGTCTCCTTTCCTTTTTTTACATGCATTGTGTGCAATACGAAAGTGGGCATAAGCTAATAAAAAAAAAGTAACATTAGTGGCCTAAGCTATCGTTTTGTCATCATTAACATTACACCCATCATAAGCAAGTTCTAGGCACTGACACCATTTTTCCTGAGGCTGTTTGTTGTTATTGTAATTTCAGTTTCGATGAACGGTTTATCATGGTAAATCAGTGTGCCAAGTTTCATTGTTAGAGGACCAACCAAAACTAATTTATACGCATAGGCACAAACACCATTTACAAAGTTTTTATTGCCTGAGGCTCTTTGTTGTTGTTTACAAACTTGTAATTTCTGTTTCGATGAACTCTTTATCATGGTAAATCGGTGTACCAAGTTTAATTATTAGAGGACCAACCAAAACTAATTTATACACAGGCACAAACACCATTTACGCAAGCTTTTATTGCCTGTGGCTCTTTGTTGTTGTTTACAAACTTGTTGTTTTGACTCTTTGTCATGGTGAATCAGTGTACCAAGTTTCATTGTTAGAGGACCAACCAAATGTAATATATACACACCATTTACAAGTTTTTATTGCCTGAGGCTGTTTGTTGTCATTTACAAACTTGTAATGTATACTAACGATGGGTTGCATGTGTGTACCAAGTTTTATCACTCTGGGTATATATTAGCTTTACCTACGTAGTTAGCACCCTATCATAATGTATGGCTTGGGGCTATTTTTTTGTTGTGTACATGTAAACAACATTGCTTACAGACAAATTGAAATGCTCTTGCACGACCTGTCATGGATATCAATCTTTGTGCAAAGTTTCTTCTCCTTATCTTACCTGGTTTTTGAGATACGCTTGTCAAAACTGAACAACAACAACAACAACAACGAGAATTTTGAAAAATGACTTTCTTTAATAAATCAATTAACATGTATTCATCATGGAATACACAAGCGCACCAAGTTGTTTAACCTCCATTCGTGCTACCATTCGAAAGTTTGAGAAGTGAAGAAATAAATTTGAATAAAGTGCCTGAGGCTATTCGTTGTTGTTCAAACAATCTGGTCGTCATGTAATAAGCATGTGTTCCAAGTTTCATCTCCATGGTATTAATTTTATTTTTAAGAAATGTGCCTGAGGCTATTTGTTGTAGTCTACAAACATGTAGTCATCACGGAAACAGGTATTTTTGATGGGGAAATACCTACGTATGCATGCTACCATTCAGAAGTTAAGAAGTAAGCTACAAAATGTCATTACTCAATCTTGTTTCGAAGAAGAAGAAAAAGAAGAAGAACAAGAAGGTCAACAATCTGCCAACTACTTCACGCATATGGTGTATTTCCTAAGCATATGAGACATGTGAAGCACAGGCGTTGCCCTCTCACAGCTCATCCTTTTAAATATGACTTGATTGTGTGCAGTCAATTGTTCAACTAACCAGCTTTACAATGTGGATTCTTGTCCCCGTACAGAATCCTTCACCATTTTCCTCACACTTTGCCTTATTTGCTCATGTTGTGAGTAAAAGTGGTGACAGTATTATAGAGGGCGTGTGTGGAGGAAAACTTAACATTAAGAAGCTATATCAGTTTGAAGCTTATAGCCATCATTTGTTGTACTACTGCATCACAAGCACTAGGTCATCCCTGTCTTATCTCCTTGGCATCCCTTTATTCAGCTTACTTACTGCATTCACATGCATGGTGTGTAATAAAAGGGGGAAAAGAAGTATTTTGGTGACATTTTATTTTTTATTGCCTGAGACTGCTAGTTGTCATTTACATGCAAGTTTCACTGTTATGCTGACACAGCATAAGCCAGTTATAGGAACATTGCGGTATGTGCGGTGCCCGTCACATATAAATTATATAATAGCTAATCAGTGACTAGGTGCGCTCGCTTTGCTCACCAATACATTATTTGTGATAATGCTATCCAGACTAACATCTATTAATTCATACTAAACATCATTTTTCACGAGTGGATGTGAGATAAACACCACGTGCAGCATGAGATGATTATGAAGTTACATTACAAGGTGTCTAAAGTTGGGGTGTGTGTGATAGCACTGTCAATATTATGGGGAAAATCACTCATTCAGATAACTAACTTAGCTCGCCAATAATTTCATGCAGAGCCTGTTCTCATTGTCTAGTGTAGAGATGTGCGTACAAGAGAAGTTGGAATCCAAGAAATTCACAACAAAGTTCGACCCTACCAGGTATTGTGGTTTGTGAAACATTACGTTACACATTATTTACTATTCTTGTTGCAAACTTTACATCAGTCATCAGGTGAGCTACTCAGCAGATCATTATGTAGGTCAGTCGTTTCGGTCCCTTTAGTCTCCTGACCTGTGCCTCACTACCACTGACGCGGGTTGTAATAGAATCTTGTGTGTAGGAAATGCTGTCAGTTTTAGTCTTCCTAAGCCTGTAGTTTGTTATGTTATAGTTCTATTTTAGGTTGTGACAGTAAAAGAAGGCAGTATGTATGCACAGGAAGTTTACTTACTGCCTTGGTGTGACAAGATTAGACCAGATACGCATACCTGCCTTGGTCCATACCTGCTGGCATCTTCTTCCCACCACCATGTGGAGTAGTAGTAAGCCAATTTTTGCGTGAGTAGTAAGGCATGTGCGTGGTGTTTTTTGGAAAAAGCCAAATCAGCACAGACCAAGTTTGCCTGTTCAGGGTATATACAGTGGTGGGATGAAGTTACTAGAAGGATATATACATGTCCAACTCTAAACTCTGACCACTAATGGTGTTAACAGTGAGAAACTGGCTCGGGCGTGGCCTGACTACTCTTAGCCATTGGCCACCTCTTAGCCATTGGCCACCTGTGTATTGTACAACACTTTGCGCTAAGGGTTTGCACTTTGAGGTGATAATAATAATACTCAGGTGGCTGCCATTGCACTAGGGCCATAGACCACGCACCCAGAGCAATGGGCGGAACCGTTAACAAACGAACATACACCATATGAATGTGAGGTGTCTGTCTCACCTCCCAGACACCTCAACTCACCCCTTCCACTAGCGACACCGTGCAGCTCCCCAGACGCAATCTGAGACTGGGTCTGTTGTATGCTGGGATTATCGCCGTATAACCTAACCTCCCAAACATCCGAAATAGAACCTTTAACAAGACCAAGCAAAGAACCAAAATTATCCTCCAACAGCTCACTACCCAATGTAAAGGATGCTTTCCTGAGACTATCAAGCGAGTGGAAATGCTCAAACCCATCATCCTCAAGCTTCCCCTGCAGGGCAACTAAGAAATTGCTCCTAAGACTACTATATGCTGGACACTCCCACAACACATGACTCACACTTTCACACTCATCATCACACAACAGGCACTCCTTCATCCCCTCCCTCCCCCTATGCCTACCCAGTTCCTCATTTAGCCCATGCGTGCCTGACCTAATCTAGACCCATCATCACTTTTCCCATGCAAGCACTTTTTGAATTCTACCACCTTGTTAAATGTCTTATAAAATAACAGCTTTACTTTGCTATTTAGCCCCTCTATTTAGCCCCATATCCCCCCTAACGGCTTCATTACATGTCTTAGACGAACACCCAAGAATACACTTAGCTCCTCCCAGCATAACGGACTCTAACGCAGGTGCCTGAGTCTTATTGGCTTCCCACACCTCACCCCCATACTCTAAAGTTGGCCTAACCACCGCCAGCAACAACAACCTGCGAGCACTCAAATTAATATCCCTATTACTAATTACACTATGCAACTGATTGATTAACCTTCCTTGTCTAACACATTCTTGATATGCACATCCCATGCACCAGTATCAGTTGTACTTTGAGGTAATAATGTGGTTTGGTGCGGTATTAGGGTTGACCTGTTACTTATGCCATGCACAGAGTGACTATAATGCCGTGTAGTCAGAGTTGTTCAGAAAACATAATGCAAACAAGGAAAAAAAAGCATTCCCTCAATGTGAAGGGGGATAGCATGAAGGAGAGAAACAAGGGGTCATTACAAAGCTAGGACACACAAAGATAAATGACAGAGATAAAGTTATGATTGTGTCATTTAGCATTGTTTGTCCTAGCTGTGGAATGACCCCCTGTTTCTTTTCTTCTTTGTGTTTTGTGCCATCCCTATATGCCACTTCTGGCAAGGAGAGATATCCCAGCCAACAAAAAAAATGTTGTAAGCTACGTAGCTATGGGTGGCAGCCTTGTGCAAGTTTTGCTAGAACAAAGTCAAGGCAACTGGAGGAAAGTTGCCAGTATGCAAAAAAAACGTTCTCTTTACCTCCTGGCATGTGTACTTCGACCACTTCTTCAATCATCCGTCTACACGGTGTACTGAAAATAGACAGTATATACCCAGGAGGAGAAACAGTCTGGCACTATTTGCTGTTGTTTACACGAAGTTTTTGTGTTCTGGCTAACATGAAAAGCATTTGAAGTGCAAACCCTCGGCGCATTGTGACGCACACGCGTAAGTAAACACATGCGCGGTACCACTAATTGATTGGCTGGGTTTCGTTTTAGCTGTTACTCGTGGTCTCTTGCCAGCTAGCGCAGAGTCTGACGCGGGCTAACTACACTACTAGATAGCATGGGAGAGGCGATACACGCCCTGCATTGCATCTTCTGGTGCCTCCGAGGTACGCAGAGCACGCGGATCGATCAGACTGTGGTAAGCCATCCCCGTCCATTGTGTATTTGCATATTGGCTTTTTCGCGCTCTAGCTTTACAACGGAGCAGTTTCAGAGAAAACCGTTCGAAAATTCTGATGTTCACTGCCCGTTAAGTAGGTCATATCCTTTGTGAGATGAACAAACACTCGAGAAGTGAGATGTAGAGTAACAGACACACAGACACACAGACCCAACTACCGTACCCTCGCTGCACATGTGCGCCGAAGGTAATGAAAAGCACAAAAGTGCAAACCCTTGGCGAACTGCGCATGTGAAAACTTTACAGCATGTGAAAACTATGAGGTAGAAAGGCAAAGGCACAACAAACAAATCAACTACACATGCACAGTACCACTAATTGATGGGCTGGGCTGCCTTTACTCGTGGTTTCCCGCTAGTAGCTCGCGGAGAGTCTGACGTGGGCTAGTATGTAGCATGCTTGAGTCAATACACGCCCTTCGTTGTGACTTCTTGTGCCTTCGAGATACACAGAGCGAGCGGACCCGGTCCAGGTAAGCCTGTGCTAATTTGCATATTGGCTTGTTCACTTGCTCTTCGTGCCATAACTTTTGAACGCAGTAGTTCAACGAAAATCACCCCTTTAAAAATGAAGCCAGTTCAGCGATGAACCCATTGGTGTCGCTGTTTTGTTATCTCGTTGTGCATAGTTGCAGACAGACATACTTACGAACCAGGTACCGTAACCCTCGCTGTGCATGCGCACCAAGGGTTAATAAAAAAATTTTAAAAGCACTAAAGTGCAATTAACTATGGATCGCACGTGATTTCTGGCACAGTGCTCGAGACAGCAGAGAGGTGCCCTCGGCGGGTGTTGGCAGTGGGAGGCACACTAGCGTATTTTTCTGCGGTTCATCCAGGCATGGCATATGTTCCGGCTGGCATTACACCGTCGTACCCATCATCCCCGCCACAAGAGATTTGGCGGCTTTTCAACGCCTGGGGTGGGAACTGATGTAGGTTCCAGCAGTGCAAATTTGCCCACATCTGTTCCCGGCGCAGGGCTTCAGGCCATGGGGCTGCACAGTGCACAGCTCCAGGAGGGAGCAACAACTTTGGAGGGAAGTGCCCTCGGTTGGGGTAGGAGGATGTACAGCAGCCCTCGATATGGTTCGTGTGGACTCACTAGTAGAGCTATGTAGTTGTACATGAACATATTATACTGGTAGACAGTGTACCATGAGAGATTACTCCTATGTGGCATAGCGGTGCGGGGGATTAATAGGGTTGGCATAAGGGAAAGCGATAAGGGGTAAAGGTTATGGGAAGAGAGTGAAGAAGGTGTGACCGCTCTAGCTGTCCACTAGTTCGCTAGTGTGACCGAGGAGTCATGCCTCATGATTCATAAGCAATGTACTTGCGGGCCACACCTCTGCTATACGTATGTAGATGCTCCCTCCCCCTTGCCCCTTGTTTACACACACACACTCGCATACCCTGTAGGTGGACATCAAGAGCAGCAGGGAACATCGACGGAAAAGTGTGTTGGCCAGGTGGGGGCTATGAGCAAAATCACAACCCCGCTCATTTTGACAGAGTAGGAGGCCGCGTTGCAAAGCCACCCGGATCAGGTTCATGCACAATACCTACTCAGTGGGCTGCGGGATGGGTTTCGCATCGGCTTTGACCAGAAGCAAGCACTCCAGTCGGCCCCAAAGAACATGTGTTCTGCGGCAGAGCACCCAGAGGTGGTATTGGAGTACCGTGCCGAAGAGATGGCCACGGGCCGAGTTGTGGGGTTATTAAAGTTTGCTAGGTGATTAGAGGGGGCAGGGCATGTTGGCTAGAACCCAGGCAAGGATATTATTCACTTGGACCATGACTGGTGTCGGGTACCGACTCCAGCATGCCACCCAAGTGCACAATATAGTGCATGGACTGAGCAATATAGTGCATGGACTGAGCACACACACTCATGTTAGCGCTCACCTTCATGGGCAAAGGCCATTGTACAATCGGGGGAGCACACCCGAGTAAGCCTGCAGTGTTAGCACAGTAGTGTGGTAGTCCGTGTGGGATAAAGAGCGCCTGGGTCAACATGCCTCAAACACGATATATAATATAGACACAGGACGTGTTAACCACCAACCAGTTGAAGTCCTTTGTCACCTCAGCTCTGCGGCGAAAGGCTCGATCGTAAAGAACCTAGGCCGGGCCCTCATAGTCCTTATGGCACCGGACAATGCAGGCCATGTATGCCATTAGCTTAGGTGTCTTCGTCTTATAAGCCATTGTCACCGTGCTTACAAACGTAGCGAAGCACTGCACCCACTGGAGGATGTCCGTCACTGGGCCCCACTGCCGCTGCAATTGGGCCTCCATGACCGTCTCTTCCAGGAGCCATGTTTTCGACGAACCCCAAATTGATTATCTTCTTCACTAGGTTTTGGGGTGACGGCACCAAACCCTCCTCCAGCAACTTGCTGGTGACCTGCACCGTAACAGGAGTGACAACTGGAGTGCCGATGTTGGGATAAATACAAAAGACTGCCACCGTCCGTTACGTTACGCAATCGTGCGTTACGTAACGTAAGCAAGCGACGGTGAACATTTGCATACAATGGCGACATGCGTACAGTTTTCTACGCATGCGTGTGAACCAAGCGAGAAGCGCGAATCGCTGCTTCCCGATCAACTGCTTGCACTGTGCTGCGTTTATTTATATCACTCACTAAAGAGGTACTAAAAGACAACTAATAGTCATGGGGTGTATCTCCCGCGCGTGGTCTTCCGTTTGTCGCTGGCGGGAAAGCGCTGGCTGTATGAACGGTCGTATTCTGGAGCACGTCTCTAATAGAGCTAGGACCAGTTATGTTCGGGCCAGTTACAGGCATCATCACCTTTTTTTAGAGCCAAAGGTCTCTTAGCTACAGCTTGCGCTTGCAGCAGGTGAGTATTGTTTAATTTCGCATAGCTTTATGGCCAGATCTGTACCATAAACAGATGTGGTCAGCAAATGGCTGAAAGGAAAAGGGATCAGGCCGGATAAGATGGCATATGCTGGTATTGCCAGAGCTGCAAGACGACGAAATGAATTCGGGTTAACAGTTTCTTCACAAGGTCCAGGCTTTCCCATCAGCAGTTTATGATGTTGATGGTCTGGTGGACAAAGGAGTACCCTGTGTTGAATGCAGCCACAGAAGCTGTTACTTCCGCAAACACGGCATGCCAAGTATATCAATCAGTGGCTCCAGGAAGTTTGCTCCATAAGATTAAATAGTTCTCGGTGTGCCTGGTATAGTTGTGCAAGTGGATGAATCACAACTCCGCCACTTTTAGTAATCTTTATTTAGCATCACCGTGGTAGAGGACCACTCCGTGATATTTGGGTGTTCGGCATTGTGGATACCTTCCAGACTCCGGCGCTGGGTTATTATGAAGGTTGTTCAGACCAGAGATGCTGCTACACTGCTGCCTATAATTAGAGCACATGTTGCACCTGGAAGTGTCATTCATTCAGACCAGTGGTGAGCTTATAGTTGGGTTGCAAGGTTGCCAACAGTCAATGCACACCACACAGTGAATCACTCACTGATCCTGTCATGGGAGTCCGCACCCAACATGTGGAGTCATATTGGAACAGGGTTAAGCTGAAGTTAAAGGCCATGGAGGGATGTCAGGCTCATCTGGTTCCTTCATACCTTGACGAGTGTGAGAGGTATGGAGAGAGGGCAGTGCACAACATCATGCAAGACATTGCAAACCAGTACCCTGTATAAAGTCACCTCTGTTTCTGCTAAGATTATCCACTGCTTATACTATAATTCAAGATTGGCTCAGACCACGCAGTGGTTGCAAGCTATTCAGAGTTGTATGAGGAAGGTGAAGTTGAAATATCAACTGTGTATCCACAGTGGCTTCATTGTGTACAACTATAAAAGCCCCACATTTCCTTGCAACCTCGGCCTTTGGATTAGCTCCTCATACTGTATGGTCTTTCTCCTCACCTGCTGCATACCAGCAACATAACCCTACCCCTTATCTTATACTCCTCATCTTTCACCCTTACTTACTTAAACACAGGGAGGGTGTGAGGGACCGTTGATATTTCAACCTCACCTCAACACAACACAACACAGTTGATATTTCAACCTCACCTTCCTCCATACAACTCTGAATAGCTTGCAACCACTGCGTGGTCTTAGCCATTCTCGAATTGTATTTCAGAAGGCTTGGTTTGTAGCAAGCCTACTAGGCTTTCCCCATGGGTTCCTTTGCTAAGCTCAAGAGCTTCGCTCTTACATTACTCAAGGATCAAGAGCTCCGCTCTTCCTTCACAACGAGGCTACTCAGTGCCTAGTATCAGTGGTAGAGAGCACCGCTCTCCCAAACAAGGGATCTTCTGTTGGTTTGTAGACTCAGAACTCCAGTCCGCAGCCTTTAGTTGTAATCCCCAAGTTTGCAGCTGCTGAAGACGATGCCCCTTATACTGAGTGGGCACTAAACACAGATGTATCAATTCCTGCTCCTTCCAACAGAGATTTATGCCATCTATCTATGGTGCTAGATGTAACTGCCTTGTATGGCTTAATGAGAGCCATAAATAACCTCAGTTCACCTCCCCTGTACAGTCCCCATGGGCCTTTAGAGTTAGCACTGGACATAGTCCAAGGTCATGTGGGAAAGAAGGGAAGAAAAAGTCTGTTATTGGTTTCCCTAGATTGCTTAGCCCAACTTCTTGGTCTGAAAGTCACACCTTCTGGCTTATACTGCTTCCCACGTAAACTTAGCTGAGATAGATCAGCTGACCTAGAGGGGCGTGGCAACGCTAGTAGCATAGCTGTTTTCCAATTCAACTGTTTCTGCCCCATGAAGATATATATGACAGTACTGTCTGTACATTCCATGTACATGAGTACCTAGGCAGTGGGGGGTCTATCATTAAACACACCTTTCATCAATCCTGTAACGAGGGGGTGTTGCCCCACTGTGTAGCCATCTATTCTCTCATACCCCGATGAGATTTCAGAGCGGTAGGAGTTGAGGGATCGATACTGATAACCCTCCTTATGTAGGTGTGCCAGGAAGTTTACAACTTCCTTTATAGGGCCTGAAAAGGGATCCGAACCCCTTGAACAACACTGTCACTTGCCAAAGAGTGGGTCGTAAGACTTGTTGCTATCGTGATCGTGATTGATCAGACGTGGTATTGCAATTAGGGGTTACCATGGTTGTGTCTTCCAGACTGGTACCACCAGAGCAATGCGAGCCTTGTCCATTTGTACTTTGGGCAGTACCCGACCTATCAGATTCCAAGGTGGGTTGGCATACCCTACTGATTTGTGACCAGTCCTGCAGGAGCATTTGTTGGGTATCTGGCCACCAGCTGAAAAACTCTGGGCACTGCGCCGTCAGACGAGATGAAAACAAATCCATCTCTATTGGACCGAAAAGGTATGTGATCCTGTTAAATATCGCAGGATTCAGCTGCCAGTCTGACCGGTCTGTCATAGTCCGAGACTCCGCATCGGCTACTACGTTCTGGACACCCGGTAGATGTTGGGCTATGATGTGGATACTCCTTTCCAGGCACCACATCCACAGGCTCTTCGCCAAGTCCACCAATTCAAATTTGGAAATGATTTCGGATAAAAATAAGCGCGTAAGAAGCTGCGCATGCGCACTTACACGACGTACGTGGACGTATATAAATCCGATCGAATCCTTGGAGACTGTTCCTCCCAGGCTGTTGATGTATGCCAGTTCCAATTTATGTATTATGTGCGTGTCCCACCACATCAATTCCTCCCTTCACTCCCTTCTCCGGGGAACCTGTGCTTCGTAACACTGGAAATGTTGATTCAGTGTGGCCGCCAGGGTAGTGTAGTTTAACCATGGGTTAAACAAGGTTAATGGGGAGGGCAGTGCTATAGGGGTCCGCAGGGCGTACGCAACCAGGCAGTGCATAGCATCATGCAAGACATTGCAAACACCTCTGTTGCTGCTAAGAATATCCACTGCTTTTACTATAACTGCTTATCATCATCCTTATCCATCCTTAGTCCTTACACTTGATGGTCACTTGGTTCACGTGCATGCGTAGAAAACTGTAGGCGTGTCGCCATTGCGTGAAAACGTTCGCCGTCACTTGCTTGAAACTTTACTTAACGCACGATTGCTAACGTAACGGACGGTGGCGATCTTTTGTATTGATCCCTTGTCGCCATGAGCCCTGCTTCTGACGATGACACAATAGTCGCCAAGACCATGCGATGGGGCTGTGCGAGGTGTTGTGGCTGCCATCGCCAGGATTGGCGGAATGCTAGCCGGCATCACTCTGCTATCCGTCTCTACATTTTGATTGGTTGACTGATACCAGCGTGTGATTGGTTATACTTCTCGCGCTATTCCTGCAAACTTGAGTCGTATCCGTCGTGGCACTGCGCTCTCCTGTTAACCTAGTTTAGACCTAACTCCATCCATACCTTCGGCAAACTGCGCATGCGCGATACTGCAAATTGATGTGCTGGGCTATTAAGTATTATGCGTTTACTCGTGGTGTCCCACTGGTAGCTGGCGGAGAGTCTGCCACGGGCTAGCTACAGCAGTAGATACCATGCTGGAGTCGATACACGTCCTTTGTTGTGACTTCTTGTGCCTTCAAGATACACAGGGAGAGCGAACCCCTGTTCTAATTAGCATATTGGCTTTTTCGCTCGTGTTTCACACCGTAACTCTCGAACGCAGCAGTTTCCATACATATGTTTCAACGCTGAATACCTGGTATTGTTTTTGGAGCGATTCATGGCTTGTGAAGTGAGATGCTGGGTAACGGACAGACAGACAGACAGACAGACAGACACACACACACACACGACAACTACAGTAACTCTCGCTGCGCATGCGCACCGAGGGTTAAAAGAGGTAAACACTACGATAACATGTTACAACAACTTATGTCAATTGTACTTTTACTTTTTACTTACTACTTTGTGTGTGTATTATTTTACAGGTTGAACTAATCAGACGTGACTATGTAGCTAACAATGGTTGGGAAACATTCTTGTCTTACGAGGACCCTGAGCAAGGTATTTATGAAGCTAAGAAAATAATTGTTTTCCCTATTTTGCCATTGTTCCAGATATCTTGGTTGGACTGTTGCGTCTAAGAAAATGCTCTTCTGATACATTTAAACTGGAACTGAAAGGTGGTGTGTCAGTCGTCAGAGAGCTACATGTCTATGGTAGTGTGGTGCCTGTAAATGCCAGAGATCCTTCGAAGTTCCAACACCAGGTTTTTACTAGTGGAAATGCTTAGCATTTATTGGGCAAGCAGAGCGAGCACTATAGCACTATGGCAAACATAATTTGGTTGTCAGTGAGTATTCCAGAGACCTCCTCGACTGACATGTACATAGATGTCACTCAAGTGAAGGCGAAGCTCTGGGGAGATAGCTCAGGTTATGGCTTTAATACTACCTAGAGTGAACAAGACGAAGGCCTCACAGCCAACACATACCCAGATTTCATATTTAAAAAGCACATAACGTCAGCACATGCACAGTTCGATGATGTATGGATGCATAAGAATAATAATGTACAAAACACCAAACAAACGACCCAGTGAACTTGCTCCACTTGCCCAATGTCATTAGATTGGAGTTCCACCCCATACAAAAGCAAAACTTTACCCCTCCTGACCTTGATGACTTCTAAGCTGTGCAGCACAGAGGGCACTCTTTGGTCCATCACGATCCTTGGCTAGGGACACATCTCAAGTGCTGCCATGTTTGCATGTTTCTCTGCCACCTATATCTCCTGTACACTGTACATCTACTTGTACATATCAGTGTGGCCAGCTTTCTAGTATTGTACCCATAATAGCTAGACTCCTATATAATGTACTTATGTGACCCTGTAACAAAATCGACAGGGGTTTGGAATGATGCTGATGGAAGAGGCAGAAAGAATAGCTCTTAAAGAACATGCATCACACAAGATATCTGTCATATCAGGTATCTGAGCATTACTCTTTCAGTAGAAGTGTATAATGATACTTCTACTTATAATAGGAGTGGGGACAAGAAACTATTATCGTAAGTTAGGATATGAACTAGATGGACCATACATGTCTAAAACCTTTCATATTTTATCTGCCACTTGCTAATTTGTGTGTATTCTCCGAAATGAAGATAATTAATAACGCCAACATCATTCTCTCTACCAGTTTTCAGATATTTCACAACAAACTATGAGGTGATAAGTTGGGGGATACAAAAAGCACATGCACATTGGCGTGATATATTATTAGTCAGTTCATGTAAAAACAAAATCAAATGAGAAAACTTTGCACACATCTAACAAATTATGGTGTTCAACATTGAAGCATTACTTGAGGCTTTTTGTTCTCAGGACATAATTATACCATAATGGGTGTGCCTACAAACAAGTACTGTATCCCACATGTGACATCTCAAGGCCATGGTCTGTTCATCAGAAAAACTCCAATGGATTTTGGCCTCCTTAATTTTTTCGTCTCTAACAGAACCATCTCTGACACAAGCAATACTTCATTACTCTCTCAATCAAAACAGCAGTACGTAGACATGAATTATTGCAGTGTGTCCCTTCAAGGAACTATGAGTAATTAACCACAACTTGCCTTGGAGCTTGTCATGTAGAGAGTTCACTTTTTCCACGTTCTACAGCAGCTAATGAACTGCCATTGTAATCATGGTATTCAGTAGGGGCACACTTGTCTATCGCAGTTAGGGTACAGCAGTTTAAAATGCTCAAGTCTGATTTGTCAACTAGAAGCTAGTCCACTTTGTTTCCTCCTTAGACATGGTGGAGGAACACCAACGACGAAGGCGATTGATAGTGTTCACCCTCAGGCCCTCAGTACAGAACATTTTCATGGTTTCCATGACGCGCTGTACTCTTAGCAGATAACGATTCATGGGCCTGGGCCCTGTATTATAGTAGCTTCTTCGCATAACACCTTAGCCTCCTATGTCTGCGTCTTGTTGTCTATTACTTAGGGCTTGTACAGTGAAGTTATGCCTAAAATGTCACTAGGGAATTTTCACATTACACTTAACCAGCCACGGACAAATAATTGTGTCCAGAGCCTCCATATGTCTTATATTTATAGGGCTATCTTTGTACATGATTTCTGCTTATTAAAGGAATACCCATGGCGTCCAAAGGTTAAGCTTATATCTACGTACTATTATTGTCTCATTCAGCACTATTCCTCAATATTGTGAAGAGTGATAAAATGGCAAGGAAACAAAAATGCAATAATGCTGGAATGAAGACCACAGTTGATATTACTGGTCCTGTGTACTGTCATTGCAAGCAATCTGATACATCATGGCAAAGTAATCCTTGTTCTCCAGTCTTCTCTCTAACTCTGCAATTTTCTTTCTTAGGGTCTCGTTCTCTGAGTGCAACTGCCAACAACGATAGGTGTGCAATACAATCACTAAACGACAGTCAATTATTTTAAAGAATAATAAGACAAGATTGTGATGGAATATAATTGAAAGATGATTAATACACAGATTGTGAGCACGATGCCACTCACCAACCCATCACAAAACTTCTAGATTATTTTAGCTTTTTTGTGCCACTCGCAAGCTCCATGTAAGGTATGACCCCGTATCATGCAGGTGGGAATATTGGACACTTTCAACAGTTTTTACCGGCTATGTTTTGTCAGAAAAAGCCTAACACCATTACCTCCTCATTTTCCTGCAATGTTTCAGCAAGAGCCTGTCGTCTTTGTTCAGCCAAAACCTTCCAGTATTCCAATGGTGGTTCCTCTGCACACGTATGTAATTACTTACTTCTAAGCATATGCAACACACATACCTGATGTACACATTTCATGGTCAAGTGACCCAATTTCTGTCTGCACTCCCTGTGTCCCAAATATAGAAAGGTTTTCTGGCGGTGCTAGTATGCACAAATTGATTACCTTGTTCTTTACTTGCACTCGACTTTTTCGTACATCAGTAACAGCACTAGCTTTGTTCACAGCAAACTTGTTCTGTAATCAAGAGTAACACTTCATGCACATTGTATATACTCATGCTTACCCGGCAGCATATTTTTTTGTACATCGATGATGAGTATAATGAAAAGCACTAAGTCATCATACAGCTGGAATTCACTATCTCCAGTATCTATTTTGACATAGATCATCAGCCAGTTCCACACATCAATTAGAGACAAGGTTGAAGATCGCCATGCAAACAAGGTTGAAGTTTGCCATGCAAGCTCCTAACTGTCTAAGCCGTGAAAAGCTCTACAACACGAAAACTGGTCAACAAAGTGGGGCAATACTACAACAAATGTCATTTAGGTAGACTCTGGCTTGGAACATACTATTTACTTGCAGTATCAATCTTCATTATCTTAGGATGCTGCAAATTGTGGTATGAATAAACAGACACATTTAATATGCACTCACGCACACATAAACTGACCAAGTACTATAACCTTACGTGCCCTTTGTTGTGACTTCTTGTGCCTTCAAGAATCACAGAGCAGCGGACCCGGTCGAGGTAAGCCTGTGCTAATTAGCAATTGGCTTGTTGACTTGATTTTTCGCCATAATTCTCGAACGAGTGCTTTTACGAAAATCGCCAATATAAAATCAAGCCAGTGTAGCGCTGAAACCCGTTTGTGTCACTTTTTGGCCGGTTTGTTGCATGCAGTGGCAGAAAACGTGGTAAGAGACACACAGACCAAGTACTATAACTCTTGCTGCGCATGGGCGTCGCGAGTTAAAAATCAAAAAGGAAGTATGTACCTGCAAATTTATATTTGGCCAAAATGTGTAGGTGTAGTTAGCACTTAGATTCTAGAATTCCATTTTACTTGAAGGATGTGTGTAGAAAATAATTAGCCACGCTTTTCACTCGGGGTATGCTACGAGGCCATTTTGGGGTCAAATGTATCAGCACACCCGAATTAAACCAGCACAGACACAAAAATTATGTCTAGGTCAATAGTTAATGTACAACAGGCTGTTAAGGGTCCATGCTATTATACGTCCGAATGTAGTTACTACTACCGAGGGCATTGCTGCACAGTGGTGTACAACCACAAGCCACCAGCAACCGCCTGGTAGCACTGGTTTGTAGTCACAGTAAATCGGTTGAGTGGTTGCATAAAAAACACTTTGGCTGGTTCAATTAGATTCGTGTGCATCATTGGTGGACTGGAGATTTCGCGAAGGTGTCGAAGGGGTGGGTTTATACTAGGCACTAATACTGATATTCTGCTTATTAACCCTCGGCGCGCAGCGTAGCGAGGTTACAGTACTTGGTTTGTCCGTCTGTCTGTCGTCATGTTACCACCACGCGCAACAACAGGTATAATAGCGACACCAACTGGTTCAGCGCTACACTGGCTTGATTTTTAAAATGGCGATTTTCGTAAAAAGTGCCGCGTTCAGAAGTTATGGCGTGAAAACCAAGTGCACCAAGCCCAATATGCTAATTAGCACTAGCTTACTTTGACCTGATCAGCTTGCTCTGTGGTATCTCGGAGGCACATGAAGTCACAACGAAGGGCGTGTATCGACTTCCGCATGCGATCTACTACTGTATCAAGCTAGCCGTGTCAGACTCTCCGCGAGCTACTCGTGGCGACTCACGGGTGTGGGTAAACGCCCACAGACTAATAGGCGCCGAGACCCATCACATTAGAGTACCGACGCATGCGCAGTTCACGAGGGTTGCACTTTAGTGCTTTCATTAAAAACAGATACAAGCTATGGCATCGCAAGGGTTATCGAACTGAGATTGGGGTAATTGGGATAGTACAAACTTAGATGGAGGATTTTTGCAGCTGAAAGGAGCCAGCATTTTTCCGGAAGAATACGGTTCCAATAGACGTAATGTTATCCTATCGGACTGGCAACTTGCCTCTAAAACATATATATATAGATAATAATAAAACGATTGACAAAATTTTAAATTTTAAAAGTTTAAAAAACTGATGATTCTATACCAGGATTGTAGAATCGTCACATATAATGGGCTAGAGTTTACCATAGGCACTCAGGATCTTGTGATTTGTCTGTGTAGTAATTACGGTAAACTTTTCTATTATAGCCAACCCTACACATGCTATTACTAAATTCCAGTGTTCATGGACCACTCAATTACTGTATAACAGGTTATGGTAGTAGCCAGACGATCCACAACTTAAAAGTATTGCTTTGATAGCACTTAGACACACAGTTATGCACTCTTCTATAACACAAGAGGGATGCAATGCATTTTTGGCGAGCATTTCAATATTATACGCGTTTTAGCACTTAATTTAGAATCACGTAAACATTGCGGTAGGTGATCACGTGGGTCTCATCTGATATACAGACATTCACGCGCCTCAGTGATCGTGCTTCGCTGCCATAATTAATGAAGAAAAATGGACAACAGTGTGAATGAGACACTATGCTTGGAACTATCACTCCAAAATGAAAAGCACTAAATTACAACAATCGGTGCACTAAGAGACACACGGGGTATAATATAATTATGCATCACACCACACTGTAGATTAAGTGTAGGCTTCTTGCTTGCTCTGTCTACTTTGACAAGGCTATATATGCGGATAGCATTAGAGGCATGCAGACTCGATACTCACCTCCACGATAACTTCTGATGCGTTCCACGCGTGCACAACATGCGGCAGAACTAGTTGAGTGTAAGCAAGTTTGTATTAGCATATTGGCGTGTTCACTTGCTTGTTAAACACAGTACTTTAATCAAGTCCTGCAGTCGGCCAGGACTCACTACTTGCCACTCATTGCGCCCATGGCAGAAACGTGGAAGAGACAGGCTGACGCGCGATTGTCGCCACTTACTCACAACATGAATTTTGTTAGTTCATGGTGTAAACTGTGAGGACAATGGTGAAGGAATTCTCTGGAGAGCCAAGAACACAGCAATGTAGAACTGGTTAGTTGAGCGAACATGGAATCTTACACTGCACACAATGCAGTCACAACCAAAAACTGAGAAGCTGCCAGAGAGGGCAACACCTGTACATTATTTGCTTATGAAATGAGTCATTCTATGAGAAGCAAGCTCATGCTTCGTGAAGGGTTGCATATTATGTGCACAAAGTTTTTATCATTCTGGGTATTGGTAGCACACTTTATTATTTGTACGGTAGTACTTAGTATATAGGGATGGGCATGGTACGTACATCATAGATTGAATGGGGCTATGATAGGGAGTTTTGTTCATCTTCTTCTCCTTCTTCAGATTGAACTCGCGTAACTCAAAAACAATACTAACATATAGTAATGAAATTTTGTAAGATGTAAAATCCGTCACCGAAGAAGAGACTGTCTACTTATTTGTTAGTAAACAACAACAAATAGCCCCAGGCAATACATTATAATGGGATCACATGTTGTGTCAGTATAACTCACAAATGGTAAGAGCTATGTGAACCAAACTTGGTAGACATAATGTATTCAATCACCAACATTAACTCTTTCGCGGGCGAAGGTGAATTATGCGCCCTACGTAATCTACTACGTGTGTGGGCGAAGGCGCTTTTTGCGACCACTCGTCAAAGCAGTTTGCTTCTTGCACCCTGCTCACGCTAGTTGCTTGGTGGAGTTGTTACATCACTATACTACATGATAAGCCAGCTACCTTCTGCTGGACCAGATATTGACAGCTGAAAAGCTTTCTACCACACCTGGTTAGTACCGCACGCTTGAAGGTAAGCCGCTAATAGTCTAACACTAGCTTTGTAGTGCATACCACTCGCTAGATAGAGGTAAATAGCTTTCCAGACAAGCCTCTTGCTTTCTAAAGAGCCATTAGCTCAGCAAATCCATCTAGAAAGCCATTCAGCAGCAAGTTTAAAAGAAAATTGCCTGAGGCCTTTTCAAACAAGATGTGGTCGTCATGGAAAACATGTAATCGTCATGGAAATGATATAATAAGGCATACATACCAAGTTTTCAACTCTACTACCATTGGAAGAGTGAAGAAGTAAATTTAAAGAAAAGTGCATGAGGCTATTTGTTGTGGTTACAAAACATGTATTGGTGTGATTTTAACTCTTTCATGGGTATAAGCAATTATTACGTAAACATTGATTGGTGAGTCGTCAGGAAGATTTAGCTTACTGTCACATACTGGCACACAACCAGTAGCTAAAGCCAACTTAGTGTCAACTACTTACTTTCCTGTTGGGAAATCCCCTGGAGTAGCCACAGAGGCTTGGGGGTGTGTGTCACACGCAGCTGCTTCTACGTGAAACGGCGTAAGGCACCTTCTCTACTGCGAACTTTAGCACGCATGGAGGGTGAAAACTTGGTGGGCATGTTTATTACATCGTTTCCATGATGACCACAACAACAAAATAGCTCAGGCACTTTCTTTTAAAATTACTCTTCACTCCTCAAACTTGCGATGCGTAGAGGTGAAACTTGGTGCGCATGATACTCTGTCCATGACGACCATCACATATAGACAACAACAAACTAGCTCAGACCCATATACTTCTTCACTCTCAAACTTGCTACATGGATCCACTGGTACACATGCATATCTACATCAGTTTTCATGACAACTACATGCTCTCATGTCCACTCCACATTGTTCACTGCTGGTCCGGCACTTCTCCTCAAACTCTGCTAACGTGCTGGCGACCATGCAGATGAAACTGGTCACGCATGCGTCTGACATCATTCCTGACAACAAGCATTGTTTGTCTCTATATCATGTTCGCTTGCCCCTTTCACAGACCTTTATACGCAGCAGTATATAAAATGAGGTGGGAGACTCGTAAATAACAATCCTGCGAAATACAACAAGAGGCATATCGGGATGGTATAAAACCTATAAAACAGGCATCAGGGTGGGCTACATGAACATCGTAATGAAGTATGCACGCGGACACCCCAACTGCATCACACAATACCCATGTATGGCTTTGGGCTATTTTTTGTTTTAAATATACGTATTATGAAAATTATCAATTATTGTGCAAAGATCTCCACATCTTGCCCTGTTGTTGAGATACACTTGTTGAAAACTAACATCAACGACGAGAATAATTAACCTTTCGTGGATTACAGATTATGCAATTTAGCCATTTGTTGTGTACGTAACTTCCTTTGACCATAGAGATCAGACTGAACGTCAGAAGTTAGATCTGATCGAATGATAAACTGAAACGTGAAAATTCTATGTATGGGCATAATGCAGATAATTTGTGTCATCCCCAAATGCTAATTGCTGCCGTACTTGTATAGCCTCGTTCCAGTCCGTTTTTTTGCAGGTGAAATGGCCTGGTACAATCTGGTTACCGACCATCCCCAGAAACTTGGGGATACCAGATATCTTTGAACACTGTCCGTTTATTCCGTATTCTCCCCGTGTTACATTCATATATATAATCTTTAGCCGCTTACCAGTGTGTTAACCGCAGTTGCAAAACGAAGATGCAGTGCTTTTGGGTGCCGTAGAAGCTCTAATACACATCTGACAGATCTAGAACGACTGGAAGGGTTCCGTGTGAGGTTTTCACCACAAATTTGATGAAAACTGACTTCTGTGAAAGGCTGCAGACGA